TCTCTGCCAGGGCAGCTCTGGTTTCCTGACACGGTTCTGCCTGGGCCGTCACTCCTGCCTCAGCCCTGGTCTGGGCACGGAGACTCCAGATCCCGATGCTCCTTCTGGACCTTCCTGGGTCATTGGAGCCACCAGCCCACTGGGAGAACGAGGCCCTGTGTCCACCTGCAAATTGATCCTGTGGGTTCCTGGCCACTGCCACTCTCTTGGCTGCCTGGTGGGCCCTTAATTCTCTCAGACTCCCCATGTCTGCCCAGGCCCTGGGCTCGCCCTGCCCCTTCTGTGTGAAATCCACTGGTGGTGGACACCCACCCTGCCCCGCCTCACCCTGTCCTTTGAGTACAGCCTGCTCCCCAGGCGTCGTCCAGCCCTCCCCACGGCCCCCCACTCCTGCCCACCCAACCACCTGCCTGGCCCCTGTCCAGCCAAGGGCTTGCTGCCCCCCTGTGGCCCAGCCTGTGCCGGGGTCACCCCGCTGTGCCAGTGGGTCCTGCCGTCCCCACCGGGCTCCTCACTGCCTGCAGCTGGGTCGCTCTGCACATTGTGGCGCCATTTTCCCCTGAGGAGCCCAAGGCTCTCCTGGTCTTGCTGGCTGTGGGAAGGAGGGGCTGCCACAGGCCCCGTCCTGCCACCCCCAGGCCCTCTCCCTCCCCGCAAACCCCAGCCCCGTCCATCCTCTGGGCCTTGGTCCCTGCTACAGAGGCAGAGCGCGTCTGGGGGACCCCTGACCGCTGAGGCCCCGTTCTCCGTGCTCTTCTTGCCAGACACTCTCCCGGGCGCCCCCGAGGCTTTGCGCCCTCAGGTCAGGTCTGCAGCGTGTGCCCGCAGGCCCTCTGTTCCCTTCTCCTCTCCACCCACCCTCCTGCCCACAGCCCTGGGCCCGGTGGTGGCAGTGGTCACCCAGATGTCCTTCCATTGGGTGTCCATTCTCGCCTCACTTGGTCTGTCCCTACACCGAGGCAGGAGGGGGCGTTTATCATCCACCCTGCTCGCACCTTTCCTTGTCGGCTCTTAGGAGCGAGCCACACCTTGACCCGGTGTGGGAGGCCGTGCCCGGGCTCCCTCTGGCCTCTCCTCGGCTCCTCCCTGGCCTGGGCCTTGGCCACCTGGCCTCCCTCCCCGAGTTCCTCAAGCTCCCGCCTCGGCCACTGTGAGTGTGGCCTCTGCCAGGTGTCCCCCCGCGGGCACGTCCACCTGCCTCTTGGCTGCTCAGCTGTGCGGAGCTCTTCCTCGAGGCCTCTCTGGGACCTGGGGGCCCTGTCCCCCACGTCTGCCCAGGTGCTGGGCAGCAGCTGACACTTTACCTGTCTGTTGTCCATCTTCCCCAACCAGGGGCTCTGTGGGGACCAGGTGGTCACAGTGCTGCCCGCCCCGGGGAAGAACCTGCCGGGTGTTGGCTTTTCTATCGGGGCCTGGGTCTGCTTGGTTGGGGAGGGGAAAGGGGGAGGAAGGGCCAAGGGGCTGGAGCCCTTTGGTGGGTCAGAGCCAGCCCAGACTTGGGGCTGCCCCTCCCCCAGGAGATCCCGGCTGTCACCATCCGAAAATAGCCCTTGTTTGTGGATGTGTGTGCCAGGGCTGGGCCACACTGCCAGCGGGCCGAGTCAGGCCCCATGGACAGTGGGGGTGACCAGAACAGCTGTCGGGGTTCCTGCCTAGAAGGCAGTGCCACCCTTGGGGGTGCCTAAGCCCCTGGGCCCTCTGCTGCACCCTGAACCCCACGTGGTGCCTGGCCCTCTTCCAGGTGATCGGGCTGCTGGATGTGTTCACTCCGGACGAGACCCTGGACGACTTCACAGACTTGTGAGTGCCGGCCTGGGCTGGCAGGGCTCCTCCCCACAGCCCGAGTGGGGTGCACTGCCCACCCCTCGCCCACGTGTCCCTGGTACCTGTGGCACTGGCACAGCCGGCGGCGCCCGGGCCACCTGTCGCCTCCGAGCCTGGTACCTGGGCCCGCTCCAGGACCGGAGGTGTGA